CCCATTTTATCATTGATTCCTTTACTTCTTCGTCTTTTGTATACCATTATAACAATAAACTAAACTGTTTGTTAAAGTGGATACCAGACTCCTAATCCCTGGGCCCATCTTCCCATATTCAGGAGATCGCCTGGGAGATGGTCCATTAAGAAAACAAAGGAAAAGTGATGAGCCATTAAGAGAACAAGGCGAATGAAAGGACCATTAGGAACCAAAAGCTCTGAGCTAGATGGCAACTCAGAGTCAGCTAGAAATCAAAGCCACCATTTGAATTGCAGTGTAAGAGCTGGCTGTGCTGTGACTGAGAGGGGAAGGGGTTGCAGGCTGGTAATGCTATGAGTCCCTCCATGGTACACATTCTTCTGGAAAGCTCTACCTGAACAAGAACGTTGAATACATGGAGTAGGCTTTGCTATCAAAAACGATCTTGTGACGCTCTTGTCAGAAGTCCCCACCGGCATTAATGAGCGACTTTCAACCCTTCAAATAAAACTCACCAAAAGCCAACAGGCTACTATTCTAAGTGCTTATGCACCAACACTGGATGCCGATGAAAACATTAAAGAATTTTTTTGCTGCCAGCTGGCTCCCATCCTATCAAAGACGACTAAGGAGGATAAAATTATCTTCCTGGGTGATTTTAATGCAAAAGTTGGGCTAGATTTTGATCTGCGGCTTGGAACTACAGTGGTGCCTCGCAAGACGAAATTAATCCGTTCCGCGAGAGTCTTCGTCTAGCGGTTTTTTCGTCTTGCGAAGCAAGCCCATTGACGGATTAGCGCTATTAGCGCTATTAGCGGTTTAGCGGCTATTAAAGGCTTAAAGGCTTAGGGGATTAGCTGCTAAAAGGCTATTAAAGGCTATTAAAGGCTTAGCAGATTAGATAAAGGGGAAAGCGAAAAAAATCTCAAGACTCGCAAGGTATTTTCGTCTTGCGAAGCAAGCCCATAGGGGAATTCGTCCTGCGAAGCAACTTCAAAACGGAAAACCCTTTCGTCTAGCGGTTTTTCCGTCTTGCGAGGCATTCGTCTTGCGGGGCACCACTGTATTGGGAAACAAGGAATTGGCAACAGCAACCAGAAAAGAATCTTACTTTTGACTATATGCGCACCGCACAACCTTGTTTTTACCAACACACTCTTTTGACAACAAAATAATAATTTAAAATATCATGGAGGCACCCTCAGTTGAACCATTGGCACCTCTGAGACTATGTAATTGTCCAAGCTGAAGTTCGCTGTGACGTGCTCCTTACCAGAGCTATGATGAGTGCTGATGACTGCTGGACAGATCACTGATTAATATGTTCCATAATAGCTATCAGGATTATACCTCAACACAGGCAAATCCAGCTCAGTGGTGTAACACTGGAAAGTGTTGATCACTTCTCCTACCTGGGCTGTTATCTTTCCACAAGGGCCAACATTGATGTTGAAATCCAGCATTGCCTGAACTCTGTGAGTGCAGCTTTCTCCCAATTGAAGTGCAGGGTGTTTGAGGACTGGGATATTCAGAGGGAAACCAAAATGCTTGTTTACAAAGCTATTGTGCTACCAACCTTGCTGTATGCTTGTGAAACGTGGACCACATATAAACACCACCTCCAACTCCTCGAAAGATTCCGTCAATATTGTCTCCGAAAAATTTTACACATCACTTGGGAAGACAGGCAAAATAATGCCAGTGTACTGGAAGAAGCAAAGATTATTCAACATCAACTTTGTTGGACAGGTCATGTTGTGCGGATGCCTGATTATTGTCTTCCAAAGCAACTACTCTATTCCAAACTTAAAAATGAAAAGCGTAATGCTGGTGGGCAACAAAAGAGGTTTATAGACTCTCTCAAGGCAAATCTAAAAAAAAGTAATATAAACGCCGGGAATTGGGAAACACTGGCCTGCGAGTGCTCCAATTGGAGAACAGCCTTTACCAAAGGTGTCATGGACTTTGAAGACACTTGAACTCAGGACGCAAGGGAGAAACGCGCTAAGAGGAAGGCACACTTGGCAAACCTCACCGTGATCAACTCCCACCTGGAAACCAATGTCCCCACTGTGGAAGGATGTGTGGATCCAGAACTGGCCTCCACAGTCACTTATGGACTCACTGTTAAGACTGTGTGTGGAAGACAACCTTACTTGGCTATGAGTGATCGCCAAAGAAAGAAGAAGAAGGTAGGCTTAGGTTGTATATATGCATAAATAAACCATATATCCTAAGGACAACACAGTCTCTGCTGTGCCTAATTTCCAGAAGGAAACACTGGCTCTGGGTGAGAGCCTGGAACCCCAGGAATCTTGCACCACTCAGAGATTGGGGTGGCTTTCAACAATAGTCTAGTATCACCAGAGATTCATGTGGGATACTTGCTGTGGACACTGCCCAATTACTCTGGCTGCACTCCTCTCCCAAACAAAGCACAACTGAAAAGTCAGAAACAAATCTTGGCATCAAGGGAGGAGTGTAGCAGGAGTGAATCAGAAGTGTATACAAGCTCATTCACAGTAAACCATGCCCTGCAGTTTATCAGGACATCTGAATATGGCCAGCTGGTGGCTTTAAGTAAAATGGGAATAATGGCAGTATAGCTTAGAGGGCCAAGATGATGCCAGAGTGGTGGTTGTTATTTGTATTTTTTCACTGTTACCTCAAAAGTCACATAAGTGAAATTGCTTTTAAGAGTTCCAGCTGAGATTAGCTGGGGAGATTTTTTAAAAAATCCAATTAGCAGATCAGAACCAGTTTCATCTGTTTTTCCTTTCAGACTCACCCTTCACACTTTGCAGTCTGCAAACAGCCTTTTCATTTTCTTTGTGCAGATCTACAAACATATTTGAATTAGCCTGCCCAAACAACTTTAAAAGAAAAGGGACATCCTTTACAGAAAGTGTCTTCCTTCTCAGGCACAGAGCATCTCTGAGTGTAGCAATGTGGAGAATTAAACCGTTTTTAAGCAGAGGTGGATGAAATATCCTTTCCCGGAGTGTTAGCTCAGGTATGAACTTTTGCTACTGTCAGGAGTAAACAAATGCTTGTGGAGTGAAAACAGACTTCCATTTGGATAAGGAGAGGGTTAAGAAACCAGTAAGGGGGAAACTTCACATGTACATAGCTTTCAAAATCTCACAAATGTAAAATACGGGTGAGATTTGTGAAATAAGAAAGACAGACACAAGTGAGAGAGTAAAATAGATGGTTAACTTGTCATGACGGTGAAGGAAAGAGTTGGGTGGATTTTCCACTGTGACCTTGGAAGTCACAAGTCAGCTGTGATTCCTGCTTTGCAGGAATCCAACTCTGCAATTCTGTGAGTGTGACTGGATTCACTGGAGCAAACTGTTCTCTTGGAATGGGGATTTCTGTCCCTCTTGTGAAACAAAAACGGATGACTGCCTTGTGTGGTCTGCCCGTTGGCAGACAGAGCCCACTGAAGCAGAATCCTACAGAAGTGTGTTTGCTGACTGCCGACTGCCTCCGAGCACTTGGTCCAGCACCTGCACAACCTCACCTGCCTCCAAGGACAATGGGAAGTAGAGCTGGAGGCCATCAGCCTTTTACTGGCACTGAGCTCTAATGGTACTTGATGTGTTCTAGGTCACCGTTATCACCTACTTATGGGCCCTCTCAAAGAACCCTAAAAAGGTTAGCTAGACAGAACTTATATTTGAGAGGTCAGGTCAACTCTACTTCAGCAAGGTATGTTCTTGGTAATTTGATCTTTAATAATGATGCTTTCTACCGCTTTTCCTCAAACAGATGTTAAGTTTATGCACCTGTAATTTCCTGTATCCTTCCTGGAATACTTCTTTTTAAAACAATGGTACATCACCCACTTTTTGGTCCTCCACCATGGAGGCTGATTCTAGGGACATGTTACATATTTCTCCAAAAAGGCTAGCAATTTCAGATTTGAGTCCTTTAAGAACTCCAGTGTGGATGCCATCCATATCCAGCATTTGTTCATTTTCAACTTCAGTAAGGCCCATAAGGGTAAAGGTGTCTATTCTTTAAACATGTAAGTATCTGCCATTGACAACCACCAAATCCTGATTGTTATGTACTGAAGTTCTCACCCTGGGCCAGCAGGGGGATACTGTAGATAGTTATGCAAATGAAGGATCGAAAGTGACGTTCAGTGATTGGATAGTTTATATGCAAATGAAGGAGCGAAAGTGACATTCAGTGATTGGCTAGTTACAGAAAATGGTTACTGTTGCATTCTAGTGGAGCTCTATATAAGCAGGCTGACTGAGCTCCTCAGTTCAGTTCTGTTCCAGCTTACAAATAAAGAGCTGCTTTGGAAGAATCACTGTGTCGTCTGATATGTTCGCCCACAACTTAATACTGATAACCTCTGAGCATTTATTATTATTTTTTTGTAATTCCCTTCAACGCTTTTGTCATTTGTTGACTATAAACACAATCCATCGCAATGTTCTTCTCTGCCAGATATCCATCAAGATTGTTGCACAAAGAGATGTGTTCTTGCTTTGCCCTATTTCTTTCCATGGGCTGCTGCTCAGGAGAATATCTTTGTGAATTGTGCCTCACATAGGCAGACATATCTATTATGTCTAACAAATGATACACAAGTTATAATTAAGAAAAAAACAAAGGGAAGCTGTCTGTTTATACAGGACACAGTGATGTATAATGCAAAGCAATTAAACATACATAACCATAATAACAAGTTTGCATTCAGCAGTGCTGTTGACAAATTTCTGTATCTTTTGTGTGTACAATGATATACCCATGATTTTTCCATTGGATTTGTACTTCCTTTCATGTTTGTACGACTTTTCTTTGAACTGATGATTAAAACTACAACCATTTCTTTTTTCTTTAAACCCAATAACAGCATTCAATTAACTCTTCATGGATTTATCTGACACGCCTAAGGAGAGTGTTTTCAGCATTTAAAATGTATGGCCAGGCCATTAAATGGTGAAATAAGTAATGTTTTAATGAATGATTTGTAATTATTTTTAAATTAAAGGTTTCTCATCAATATTCCTCAAATCCCCGTGGAGGTTAAGTAGCACATAGATCTTGTTAAGCACTCAAATTGAGCCAGACTTTATTTAAGTAGCACGAACTCTAAATAATGGCATGTGTCAATATCTGGACCACATTCAACAAGTAGCACTTAAGCAAAAAACTTGATTTTGTCCATGTCCGTGTTTGTTAAAGCAGGTTAAGTAGAAGAGGTTGTATTATTTTTCTGTTGCGATTATGGGGGTGTCAGGTTGGGTTTGTAGCTGCAGACGAAGGGTAGCTTCTTTTTGCAATCAGAGCCATCCCAGTTACCCTGGCCTGGAAGAAAAGCAAGTAGTGAATAAAAAACAAAATAAAATCCAAGAATTCATTAGAAAAATATTATCTTCTCATCAAAAATGCCAAGCACCTTGTAAGTTTATTCAATTAAGCTTGTCTATATAGGTAAAGGGTAAAGGTAAAGGGACCCCTGACCATTAGGTCCAGTCGTGACCAGCTCTGGGGTTGCGGCGCTCATCTCGCTTTATTGGCCGAGGGAGCCGGCGTACAGCTTCCGGGTCATGTGGCCAGCATGACTAAGCCGCTTCTGGTGGACCAGAGCAGCGCACGGAAACGCCGTCTACCTTCTCGCCGGAGTGGTGCCTATTTATCTACTTGCACTTTGACGTGCTTTTGAACTGCTAGGTTGGCAGGAACAGGGACCGAGCAACGGGAGCTCACCCCGTCGTGGGGATTCGAACCGCCGACTTTCTGATCGGCAAGCCCCAGGCTCTGTGGTTTAACCCACAGCACCACCCGCGTCCCACTAAAAATATGGAACACTTCGCGAACTTGCGTGTCATCCTTGCGCAGGGGCCATGCTAATCTTCTCTGTATCGTTCCAATTTTAGTATACGTGCTGCCAAAGCAAGCACTAGACAAAAGCTTAATTGAATAAACTTACAAGGTTATATTAAACCCATTCAGTTTATTAAAACTTGAAAATACCCTCTGGGGAGCAGAGAGGAAAAATAGCCACATGATAGGCAAAATGATCAGCCAGCGAGGGCTGAGTTCTGTTCCCTTCACTGCAAACAGGAATCAATTGTTTCGTCTGAATTTTACGCTTAAGAGAAGATTGTACATCTGCCACAAAATGTGTGAGTGATTTTCTTTGGGCAGCTCATTACTCACTTTATATGCATCTGGTACCCTTACTATTTCAGGGGGACAGGAGATGTTACAGTTTTAGTGTGGTAGAGGTGGTTTATCATACCATACGGACCATACAAAGGTCCGTATGGTAAAGGCCATGGTTTTTCCAGTAGTGATGTATGGAAGTGAGAGCTGGACCATAAAGAAGGCTGATCGCCGAAGAATTGATGCTTTTGAATTATGGTGCTGGAGGAGACTCTTGAGAGTCCCATGGACTGCAAGAAGATCAAACCTCTCCATTCTTAAGGAAATCAGCCCTGAGTGCTCACTGGAAGGACAGATCCTGAAGCTGAGGCTCCAATACTTTGGCCACCTCATGAGAAGAGAAACTCCCTGGAAAAGACCCTGATGTTGGGAAAGATGGAGGGCACAAGGAGAAGGGGACGACAGAGAATGAGATGGTTGGATGGTGTTCTTGAAGCTACCAGCATGAGTTTGATCAAACTGCGGGAGGCAGTGGAGGACAGAAGTGCCTGGCGTGCTCTGGTCCATGGGGTCACGAAGAGTCGGACACGACTAAACGACTAAACAACAGAGGTGGTTTGGGCACACTAAAATGCATTTGTTTTCAGGGCAAGAAATGTATGCTCAAATTACTTCCACCACACACAGAATGATATGGCCATCATAAAAGCCCTTTTGCTCCAGCATAAAGAACAGAATAATATGACCACTCTTCTGGAATTTCTCCCCAATGAAGTTGTGTGCTCCAAGCCTTTCTGGAGCACCAGTTATGTCCTCAATAGGTTTGCCAAACTACTTTTAAAAGTTCCAAGCAACATACGAGCCTGGAGAATGTAAAATTTGCATTTGAACGTAAACTTTGCAATTAGGGTTGTGACTGAAAATGCACCTAAGGTGGGTTGCACCTAAGGAGAATATGGATATTTATCCTGAAATAAAATACTGAGTGATTTCAAGGAAAGTCAAAACAGGTTTGCTAACGCTTGCCAAATTTCTCAAGACATGGCAGCCACCAAATTTTCTACAGTGAAACTGAAGATGAATGTAGATGTTATCCCAAAATGAAATCCCTGGACAACCAACTGCTGCAATGTTGTTCAGCTGGGCATTGAACTAGTTTGATAAAAATAATGCCTAATTTGAGGAGGGTGGGAGTGAATCAGCTCTAAACTTCCTTTTTAGGGAGTTCACTCTATTCTGCAGTGGAACTTTGATGCAAATTGCACTCAATGATGTCCTAAAATTAACATCAGCTTGCTGTATCCAATGGCATTTCAATGGCACAAAGCAAACAAAACACAACCAACATGTAAAGTGTTAAATATCACTTTAGCTTAAAGCATCAATTGCTGGGAAAGTGACCAGAGGAGTATTTAATACTTAGAATTTTGAAAAGTGGAGGAAACCTAGCTTTCTAGGATGAACTAAACAAATACATATATCATATTTGTGGATTACAGTGTACCTCCTAGATTTATCTTTAAGCAAATGCGACTGTGCAGAAAACTGTTAATTGCTTCCCCAAAAACATGAAGAATTGAGCTCAGTGGACGCTGAAGGAAATTTGCCCCAGAGCCATCCGTCCATTCCAGCGAAGATCCCTGCAGAATAACCAAACAGGAATTGAATGAAGACCATCACACCACCCGGTAAACTGTTTAGGAATTTCCATATTCAAGCACGACTGAAACGGAATGAGCAAGAGGCGTTTTCAAAGGGATGTGCACTAAAGTCTCTTGCATGAAGCGGGGTTTCCATACTTTAAAAGGGCATGAATAATGTGCGGTGCGTAATTTATCAGATGGATTCTCTGCAAACACATCGAGATTTTATGGAATCTGCCACTCTGCATTGTTCGGTGAGCACAGCTTATTCCAAGAATCTAAACAAAACCTTTTACTTAGATGTCACCTAAAGCTCTGCTCCATTATTAACCATGTTAGACAGGCTTCTCTGTCAAATATTAATGGCAACTATGACTTTTAATTCTGAACGTGCGATTTCTTTAGCTGAAAACATGAGCACTGAAGTGTGGTATCATTTTTCAAAGCCTGGTTCACACACTCAAGCAGAGCTTCATTCTGCACCATAATAATAATAATAATAATAATAATAATAATAATAATTTATTATTTATACCCCGCCAATCTGGCTGGGCTTCCCCAGCCACTCTGGGCGGCTTCCAAAAAAATATTAAAATACTATAATACATCAAGCATTAAAAGCTTCCCTAAACAGGGCTGCCTTCAGATGTCTTCTAAATGTCTGGTAGTTGTTGTTCTCTTTGACATCTGGTGGGAGGGTGTTCCACAGGGTGGGCGCCACTACCGAGAAGGCCCTCTGCCTGGTTCCCTGTAACTTGGCTTCTCGCAGTGAGGGAACCACCAGAAGGCCCTCGGTTGCTGGACCTCAGTGTCCGAGTAGAACGATGGGGGTGGAGACCATAGAGGAGTTGGCACATACAGTGGCGGAGCTTCATGCTCGGGCACCGGGAGGGGGCAGAGAGCAGGCGGGAGCAGGGCTGGCGCTGGCCGTAGGGGCATGGTGCCCAGCACAGGCGAGGGGACAGCCGTGATGGCACCCCACCAGGATTGCACTGCTGGGAGCGATGCACTCCTCCCGCACACCTCTTCCTCCGCCAGTGGGCACACAATTTCCTTGCTGCAGGGCTGGACAAGAGGGTGAGGCTGCCTACCTGTCAATCACCTGATGTCACTACAGTGCCATAGCTATGGGGGGGGGGGATGTCTAGCCAGATTTCTTTGCCCTGGGTGAAGCCTCCAGAGGAGTGCCTTTGAGGTTTCCAGTCCCTTTGCATGTGTATGCAAATGTGTGTGTGTGGGGGGTGTATGTGCCAAACTGCCTCTTTGACCTGGGTGAAATAAAGCCCAGTTTCGCTCCTGGTCACTGTTAGACCATGTGGTAATTTTTGTCCACATGATTTGAAATTGGATTGTAAAGGCAGAGGCACAGGCTGCAAAGCAGCAGTGATCAGCTGGTTGCTGTGTCTTGCAGAGTGCTCAGCAAAGGGCTCCACAAGATCCAGCAGCCTTGGATTGTACTTTGCCCCATTTGGGCTGTGTTATTTACTGAGCTGAATCCTGGAAAAATAGGATCCAGAATGCAGCAGTCTGATTGGTCCGCAGGAGCCACCCAATCCAGCTCCAGGTGGAAGTGAATCAGCAACCTGATTGGCCTGCAGGAGCAGCCCGGAATTAGCCAATCACGCGGGGCCCATTGTGTAAATAATGTATATATAGCTAGACGTTTTGGGGAAAGTTTCATTCATTGCTCCTACCAGCTGAATAAAGAGCATGAAATTCACACTTGACTCTGAGTATATTTCAGGCTGAGCCAGCTATTTACCTGCCCCACACCTGGCCTGTGGTATAGGGAAGGGGGAAATGACTTGGCAAGGCAATGTGTGGTGTGCACACTGTGTCTGTGCCCAAATTCGCATCGTCCTGCCCCTCATTTTGAGGGGGAACCACCTATAGAACAGGGGTGATGAAGTACCTAGAGATCAATCAGAACATGGAAAGGATTGACAGCTCTTTCTTAATTAGCCACACTTTTGTTTGCCCAACTGCTTTCCCTTGGGAAACCTGTGGTTGAGATGAGCGCTGAATCAGAGCAAACAGCAACTAGGTTTTCTGTGGGTTGCTGTTTGTTCCAATTTATCACTAAAGAGTGCAAAGGCAAAACCGCTTGAACCTGTGTTTAGAAAGCATGGGAGCAGCAGAAGTGTGAACGAGCCCTCAGGCTTATAGCACTGGAAAGAGTTCTGGGTAGAGGAGTTAGAATGGTAAAAATTGTATCTGCAAAACATTTAAGTGCCATGTTTTGCTTTGGTAATGCAACTGTGCCGTATACAGTGGTACCTCGGGTTACAGACGCTTCAGGTTACAGACACTTCAGGTTACAGACTCTGCTAACCCAGAAATAATACCTCGGGTTAAGAACTTTGCTTCAGGATGAGAACAGAAATCATGTGGCGGCAGCGCGGCAGCAGCAGGAGGCGCCATTAGCTAAAGTGGTACCTCAGGTTAAGAACAGTTTCAGGTTAAGAACGGACCTCCGGAACGAATTAAGTTCTTAACCAGAGGTACTATTGTATTTTTTCTTCTCTCCAGAGTGGTGTGGAGTTACCATTTTTAGTGTTGTGCTAATTGGACTTGCCTTTTTGTGGCTTCCTCCTGTCCAGAACTGGGCCGTCTGTTGTCCGTGGTAAGTCGCCAGACTTACAAGGAAGTCATTGTGTTCTGCACTTGAGACGCTAGTCAGATGTCCACCTGTGACTTTGCGCTGGCAAGTTCTCTGGAAAGTAAATTGGAAATGGGAAGGCAACTGAAGAAGGTGTGGAAAATGCCTCAGGAAATGCTACCGTCGGATTTTGTATTGAAGAATCAGCATGAGTATCTCCGTGCAAATGACCACCATTTTATGCAACAGGGGCAAAATAATATGGAGGCAGTGAGTCACAGAAACACAAACGACCCCTTACAGGAGACTGAGTGGGCCACTTTTATGCCACCCAATGGTACCATTAGGGGGCACAGGTCCAGGGCCTGACATGAAGGGTGGGGTGGATGACAGCACCCCGTCAGCAGCAGTCACTGCATAATCTTTCCTTTGTGTCTCCTTTCCTTTTTACTATGCAGATAAGGTAAAGATTAGGTCCAGTCGTGGCCGACTCTGGGGTTGCGGTGCTCATCTTGTTTTATTGGCCGAGGGAGCCGGCGTACAGCTTCTGGGTCATGTGGCCAGCATGACTAAGCTGCTTCGGGCGAACCAAAGCAGCACACAGAAATGCCATTTACCTTCCCACCAGAGTGGTACCTATTTATCTACTTGCACTTTGATGTGCTTTCGAACTGCTAGGTTGGCAGGAGCAGGGACCAAGCAATGGGAGCTCACCCTGTCACAGGGATTCAAACCGCTGACCTTCTGATTGGCAAGTCCTAGGCTCTGTGGTTTAACCCACAGCGTTGTTAGGATATTTCCGTTCCACCTTAAAAGGGAGCAGGCTTTGTGAGTCACAGAGTCAGCGCATTTCCTGTTCACAGGATGTTAATGTTTCCTATTGCTTTCGTTTTCTTGCTGTGTCTGGAGACACTGATGCAGGCAGTCATGTTTTTCTTTGTTCTGATCAACGCTGAATAAAACTTGTAAATAATGCTCTCCTGTGTGCAACTTCTGCTGTGAACTATCTGCTGATAGAGTGTGCATGAGCTCTGGAATGTGGCAAGCTATTTCTAGAAACTCGTGTCGCTAATTGCTGATACTGTATCTACGGGAGATCGATGGATCGTCCGGCAGCCGGCTTGGGGGCCATGATGGACTTTGTCTCCCTGGCAGTATCCCAACAAGCGCCACCCGCAGATACACTGCTGCAAACTGAAGCTCCCAACAGTCGTGGCCACCATCTTCCTTTCCTCAGAGTGTTTTGCCTCTGGACTCTAGGAAAGAAAGATGCTTTGGCAGGCGGGAAGGACTGCCCCTGTGGTGTTTGCCCACTCATTATGGAGATGTCGTACTGGGGGAGAGAGAAAGGGTTAATAGGTTGATGTGACTGTTTTGCATGTTTTAATCATTACATATGCTCTGAATTTAGTAGCACCATGGCGACTCTTTCCAGCTGATTCAAGAACATTTACATCCCACAGCAGGTCCTGGGTGCTACTTAAAATTAACTCGAACGCCACAGCCCCCTTTCCCTTTTTCATGTGTATTTTTTGTAAAAATGCTTGAAGAACAAAACAAAGTAGAGACTTGCTTCTTTTCTGCAACCTAAGAAGGGAGGAGCGTAACAGGGACTTGCAGGCAGCAGGAGTTTTATGCAGCACAAAGTCTAAGCAAGGAAGGAAACGATCAGGTTTAAGGTGCTGGTTTTAACCTTTAAAGCCCTACACAGCCTAGGAACCTCGTACCTACGGGACCACCTCTCCTGGTATGTCCCACAGAGGAACTTACAGTCTTCAAACAAAAACATCTTGAAGGTCCCAGGCCACAGAGAGGTTAGGCTGGCCTCAACTAGAGCCAGGGCTTTCTCGGCTGTGGCTCCGATCTGGTGGAACACTCTGTCACAAGAGACTAGGGCCCTGCGGGACTTGACATCTTTCCGCAGGGCCTGCAAGACAGAGCTGTTCCACCAGGCCTTTGGCCAGGGCACAGCCTGACTCCCTCCTTTGGCAATCTTCACAGAACTCTAGCCCAATGGTTGCCATCAATTTGATTTGAATTAATTTTATAATGAAATGATTTTAGAATGTTGTATTATTTTATTCTTGTTAGCCGCCCTGAGCCCGGCTTTGGCCGGGGAGGGTGGGATATAAATAAAATTTATTATTATTATTTATTAAAGATGAGCCCCCAAGAAAATCTTCATTTTGAAGATGCTCCTACCTCAGCTTCTTCCCACGTCTCTCGTTTCTGAACAAACATGTAGCACTGGCCCAGGTAACTTATCCAGCCATCAAGGCAGCCACCTTGACAAAACAATTCTGGATCGACCACAGAGGAGTCGCGGGATGCTGGGACCTCATTGTCCCCGGAAGGACGCTTGTTCCAATCAAGAACGTTTCCCAGCAAGAACCGGCGTTCGCGGGACTTGACCTCCGGAAGCCCATTGCCTGGAAAAAAGTACGAAATCTCACAGTATGAAATTTACGGCATGTAATGCCCCAAGAGAAGACTTAATGAAAATGATTTATAGGTGGTACATGACACCAGTCAAGCTTGCAAAAATCTACCATTTGCCCGATAATAAATGTTGGAAATGTAACGAGACTGAAGGCACATTCTTTCACCTTTGGTGGACGTGCCCAAGGATTAAGGCTTTCTGGGAGATGATTTATAATGAAATGAAAAAGGTATTCAAATATACCTTCCTGAAGAAACCAGAGGCCTTTCTCCTGGGCATGGTCGGCCAATTGGTGTCAAAGAAGGATAGAACTTTCTTTATGTATGCAACAACAGCAGCAAGGATACTCATCGCAAAATATTGGAAGACACAAGATTTACCCACCCGGGAAGAATGGCAGATGAAGTTGATGGACTATATGGAATTGGCGGAAATGACTGGCAGAATCCGAGACCAGGGAGAAGAGTTGGTGGAAGAAGATTGGAAAAAATTTAAAGAGTATTTACAGAAATACTGCAAAATCAATGAATGTTAGAAAAATGTTGGAATGAAGTTACATGGCTTTAGCAGAAATGTTATAAAGAATTAAGTACAAATAGTTTAATAGAGTATTAAAGGAAAAAATAAGGTTAGAATGAGTTAAGATAATTATAGGATAGAAAACAGAGGAAGATGGAAAGGAATTGCTGAAATAATTAACAGAAGTGGAAAACAAAAAGGGAGGTGTGAGGAGGTCGCGGAAATAAGTGAATGAATGATGGGATAATGAAATTGTTTGATTTATTTTATTGTTTTTGTTTTGTTTGTTAGTTTAATGTATTGTATTGTATTTTTTTTTAGTGTTTAAATTTTTTGGAAAAGTAATAAATATATATTTTTTTTTAAAGGAAAAAAGTACGAAATCAGACACCCCAAGAGAAACACCCCCAATCATTTTTAAATAAAAGATGAAGACCCTAAATAGGGTGGGAATTGAAGAGTTGGCAAGGCTACTCCTCTGAAGCACTTTCAAAATGGCTCAGTCAGGTTTTATTCCTTGCAAAGCAGACACATTAACAACAGGTTAATACTATAGTATTCCTATATATTGTCTTCCTAAATGAGATTTTTTTTGGGGGGGTGGTGGTAGATCCCCCATAAGCTCTACATTCAGTTAAGTGTTAGAATTTGAGCTAACTCAAACTCATGAATTTAGCAGCCTGGCAATGACTTGCTGGGGATGGATCACTGAAGAAGCAAAAGGCTGATTAGAGCTTTTGGGGTAGGATTGCCCTTGGCCGGATGTAAGCAACAGGAAGAAAAGGTGTCTTACAGTGGGCCTGAGAAACAGGTGTTGCCAGGGCGACTGGGGCTGTGGGATACTGGAAGTGGAAGGGAAAGCGCTGTTTTGTGCAAGTGCTGCGGAGAAGGAGAAGGAGACATTGGGTAGAACTTCGCGTGGGGACTGATGGGAAGCAACTATGATGGCTGGCTGGAGCAGGCTGTGACAGAGAGACAGGGGCATGGCGCTTAAGACGCCTGTGAATCCAATGCTGTGCTGCTGGAAAAGACAAGCCATTCTGGAGATGTAAATGCTTTGAACTCTCTCTATAAACTCAGGTGTGTGAGTAAACCATCATTCTTAAAGGTACAGGTTCTCTGCTGTGCTTCATTTTCCCCCAAGGAAACACGAACCCTGGTTAAGTGCCAAGACACCCGGAATCCTGCTACTGCTTGGCAGAGATTTGGGTGGCCTGGAACAATATTGAGGGGAATGCAAAATTTTCCTTAGAGGCTGCTTGCATCCAATCAACATCAAGTCAATCCCAGTACTTCATCATTACAGCCACTTACCGAGGCATAACCCCAAACCTTACTCCCAGATACTCCCCACTGCCAGAGCAGTGAGGAATTTCTGGGCGCAATGTACTACGGTTCTGTTTCCTTTGAGGCAATGGAAAATTCACTGGCATTTTGTAGTACTTTCATTCATTTACATATGCAGAAGTGGGTCGTAAGCATAGTTTCACAGTTCAGTCTACCCCAGTAGACCCTGCTTCCTCCATTGGGGAGAAACATGGTTCCTTCATCATTCCCTGGGAATCCTACAGCTCTGGCCTCTGTCTCAACTGCAGACTTAGCTTCCCCGCCCCCCGCCTGCTGGGCTCCAGGGAAGATGAAAGGATGAGTCTACTTCCTGCCCTTTTCCCAGGTTATCACCAATAACCTTCAGTTAACACAGGACCATGTCCGGGCAAAGATTTTGTCTAAAAGGGTTGTGCAAATCAAACCACTTAGTCCATGTTCTAAAACTATCTAGTTATACCACTGCGGGAATATAGTAAAAAGTCAACGTGATGTGTCAGGAGATGAGTTCACATCAAGATCACGAGGCACTTTAATCTCACCTTCAGATACAGGGAGAAGCAGCACTCCTAGGTAGAGCATCAAAACTGAATGTGGCTTCATTGCCCGTTGGTAGCAGAACTTTCACCTACAGTGAAGGAAAGACCGTTTGCGTGAACACCTGTTTTCATGTATGAAGATCAAAATTCCGATCTTCTTCCACTTTAACAGGTACCTGAAATTGAACTCAGACCATTTGAAGCTCTCACATTAATTTAATTAGTTGATTAATTAATTGAGACGACACGTGCAACTCAGACATGACGTGAATTTCCCTAACTGCAGATTGTGAGCTAATTTTTCAGTAAAATGGCAGTCTTGCCTAAAGCCTGATGATCAAGCAGATAAAAAATGGATTCCTGATCCATCACTGTGTGTGTGTGTGTGTGTGTGTGTGAGAGAGAGAGAGAGAGAGAGAGAGAGAGAGAGAGAGAGAGTAGGAGAGGGAATGCACAAAGGTGCAGAACATGTTCAGTGGAGCACTAATTTGCCATGTCGTATCTTCTGTTACATAGGAGAACTGTGGGATGTGGGTAGGGATGGAAGGACCTGTCAATTTTGGTTTTCTCAGTTTCTCATTTTGCAATCTTTTAAAAAAAATCATTTTTATTGGTTTTACAAATGCAAAGTATAAATAAACAGAATAAAAAATGTATCTATATAGAGAGATTCTCTGGATCTCAGGACTCCCCTCCCCCCATCTCCTCCATGGTGTCTCGTTTTAAACATCTACTACTGCATATTCATCCATACTCCAATTTTTATATCAAAACATATTATTCATGGTAATTTTTACACTACAAGTGAAATAAAAATCCTGCTCTTGTTTCCATCTGCTTACAGTGGTCTCCTAAGTAACTTACAAATTTCCCCCATTCTTTTATAAAGTTTTTGTCCTCTCTCATTTTGCAAATCTTAAATGCAGTTCTCCAGATTTTGCAGCAATTCACGATTTAGAAAACAACCTTTGCAGAACTTCATCAGCCTTTTATTACAAATTTATCCTAATAAACACCGTTTCGACTAACGTACAAATTTTTGCAAGCAATTTATCCTAACATAATATTATTTAATATTAGTTATTACATTGTTTTCACCAGTAAATGCATGTTTAAGTGCTCTCTCCCTTAACATTTGCACTTATGTAAACACTGGTTGTGAGTTGCACGACAAAATTCACATAACTGCGAATTGTGAAGGATTGCTGCGTTTCACTTTTCATATTGTTTTGGAAAGTTCAGATTTAATAGATTTGAATTCAAAGGAGACCTGAATCAAATCTCTCCTCCATTCCTTGATATGGGTGGTGACTCCATAAAGAGGAATATATGTATGCCACCTTGGAAGTTATTTCACCTGTTTGAAATAAATACATGCACTTTAATGAAATGTCTATTTAGAGAAATACCTGTTTTGTAGATTGTTCCCCTTTCTTCCCTTCTTTTAACACTAGTAATGGGCAGCAGCAGTTTTAAGTAGTATTTATCCGACTTTTGGATGACTGGAGCTTTTTCCTTTGCACAAGAAGGCTAATAGTGCATGTCTTTATTTTTATATATACTCTCCTCCTTAAGCAAAGGAGGGTGGGGGCTTGTCTTTGACGCCACTGTTGGTTTAATTGATGATCTCTAACACCTTTCACAAACACATACTTGAATCTTATTCATCCATGGAGTATGAACACAGAGCATAGACCTACTGTACCAAACAATGTAGGACACATAGAATCATAGAATGGCAGAGTTGGAAGCATAGCTGTCAACTTTCCCCTTTTTTGCGGGAAATTCCCTTATTCCAGCGCCATTTCCCGCTGCTTCCCGCTGCTATCCCGGATTGTTAGATATCCCGTAGACTGTCCCCGGGACAGGTGAGGCTGCTGATCCCTTATTTTCAAATCTGAAAGTTGACAGCTATGGCTGGAAGGTCTGCCAGGGGCAATCTAATTCAAATCACTGCAATGAATTTATGGGTTTGCTCGAATTCTAATGCTTCACTGGATGTAGAGATTATGGGGATCTGCCCCCAAACCATAAATTATAATTAGATTTATGATAGAATTGTAGAGTCCATCCCCCTGCAATGCAGGACTCTCAACTAAAGCATCCATGACAGATGGGCATCCCTGTTAAGGTTATGTTGAATCCTGATTCTGCCTTCTGTGGCATTCGTTACCCCTCCAAGTTTGGTGTCGTCTGCAGATTTGATAGGCAGCCCCTCAAATCCTTCGTCCAAGTTGTTTCTAAAGATGTTGAACAACAACGGGCCCAGAACAGACCCTAAAGGCATGCCACTTTTCAATTTTTTTTCTAGGAGGATAGGGAACCATTAATGAGCGCCAGGGGTACCACCTCCTAGGGGCTAAGCCCTTGCGGTCCTGTGTGAGTGTCTGGAGGCAGTTGGAGGATGGATGGTGGCTAACAGATTGAGGCTGAATCCTGACAAGACAGAAGTACTGTTTTTGGAGGATAGGGGACAGGCATGTGTGGAGGACTCTCTGATCCTGAATGGGGTAACTGTGCCCCTGAAGGACCAGGTGCACAGCCTGGGAGTCATTCTGGACTCACAGCTGTCCATGGAGGTGCAATGTTCTGCCCGGACACTGAGGTCCAGTGCCGAGGGCCTTGTGGTGGTTCCCTCACTGCGAGAAGCGAGGCTACAGGGAACCAGGCAGAGGGCCTTCTTGGTAGTGACACCCGCCCTGTGGAACGCCCTCCCACCAGATGTCAAAGAGAAAAACAATTACTAGACTTTTAGGAGACATCTGAAGGCAGCCCTGTTTAGGGAAGCTTTTAATATCTGAAGGATTATTGTATTTTAATATTTTGTTGGAAGTCTCCCAGAGTGGCTGGGGAAACCCAGCCAGATGGGTGGGGTATAAATAATAATATATTATTCTTATTCTTATTCATGCCCTTGAATATTTTCAGGGAGGGGACTGCCCCCAATGTCCAAAAGTGGTGGAGGAGGCCCAGCACAGCCTCAGGCCAGCTCCTCCTCCTCTTCCTCCTACCATGGAGGAGAAGCCCCAATCCTGTGACAGCAGCAGCAGAGGAACCATGGCCATTGAAGGTGTGCTGCTGCTGCTGCTGCTGCTGCTGCTGCCATGCTTGGCTCTGCCCCAGCTCCTCTGATGTCCTGAAATAACGCATCGCAAGCCCCCACATTCTTCTTCGGAAGCTGGCGCATCTGATGAGCACTCTTTGGGTTCAGTTAGTCAACCAGCTAAAGATCCACCCTAACAGTTACCTCACCCAGTCCACATTTTACCAGCTTCCATTGCAAGAATATAAATGGAGGAATATCATGTCAGAAGCCTTGCTGAAATCAAGATACACTATGTGCACAGCATTCCCTTGAGCCACCACAGTTGTAACTCAAAAGAAAGAAAAGAAGGGAGGAAGGAAGGGAGGAAGGAAGGAAGGAAGGAAGGAAGGAAGGGAAGGAAGGAAGGAAGGAAGGAAGGAAGGAAGGAAGGAAGGAACGAAGGAGATTTGTCTGGCATGCAATGCCTTTGAGAAAAAAACAGACAAGGTCCCAGTTGGTCAACCATCGTGGCACCAACCAGCTCCAGACCTACTTTGCTTGCCCTGAGCTGCCACTTCTGTGTGAGAAGAAGGCCAAAAGGAAAAAGGGGATAAAATCTGCATCTACACTTGCCCTCTTAAACGACTTTCCTTTCAGGATGTTGAATAATGGAGAGGAGGATCTGTTCAAGCTCCAGTTTCCTGCTCTTATGTCCATTTGTTAAGTCCTGTTCCAACAATCATAATGGTGACTGAACACCCTTGAGTGGCATCTACTGATCACACAAAACATAGTCCACCAATTGAACATATGTTTGAGCTGATGAATTTCTTTGAGAGCCAAATATTTACTAAGAGGGCTGCAGAAAATCCTTATTCTCCACCTTTCTTTACAGTCACACATGGACTTCCCACCAGTTTTCAGAGGGTGGAAAGTAGAGGAACTGTTTTGAAGAAATGATTCTTAAGGACCACAGGGCCAATTAAAACTTCACCAAGATGGCCGCCAACAACAACAACAACTTTTTATTTCTACCCCGCCCATCTGGCTGGGCTTCCCCAGCCACTCTGGGCGGCTTTCAACAGAACATTAAAAACAGAATAAAACATTTAAAAACTTCCCTAAACAGAGCTGCCTTCAGACGTCTGTTTGAAGGAGTCCTCTGTTTTAAGGGCCATCCAGCCAAGTTTGATTTAAAGATTTAAAAACTTTTATTAAAAAAAACTCTTAAGAAAGGAGAGTAGCAGCCTATCAAATTAGCACCTGGAGAAAAAGACCAAGCCCACAGGCCACCTGGTCAAGGTCCACCCCACTGTGGTGAGATGTATTGTATTTAATTCAAATTATAGCATTCACTTCTAAATTTGTATCCATACATATAAATCAGCATATGCAAATTTATGCAAATAAGTGTCCTTTTTTTTTTAGGCAGTGCATACATGAGCACCTTAAATTAGGCATGACTCTTGGTAGCTCAATAAACAGAGCAAATGTTTGTAGTCCACTGCATGAAGTGTATTCCTCAGAACTATACAAATGAAATGAACTTTTTGAATTTCATTTTAAAAAGAGAGAGAGAAATGAAATGGCCAGCGGGAAAGAACTGCCCCTCTCCTGTCAGTCTTTCGCTCTCAGTTGCAGTTTCCAAGGTGGCTTTTCATCTAAAGAACAAACAAAACAAAACAAAACAAAACAAAACAAAACAAAACAAAACACTATTGGGCAGGGGAGGGGGAGTCAGGGAGAAACCCACACCTGAGTCAGTTTGCTCTGCATTCTTTACTGACTACAGCAGGAACTTCAGAAGTTTCAGGAAATCCGAACGTAAATCCATACTTTGCTTTGAAACTCAGTTTGCTTCATTTCCTTGGACGGATGGCGACAGCATGCAAATGGAAAAAAATAAATGCATTTGGGAGCAGAGCTCACAGTGCACTCGTTTGGATGGAACTTTTTAAAATGTTGTTTTCTGCAGCGTTTGGGTGGGAGTGTTACAGAACAATATTTGCAAATACAGTGGCACCTCAGGTTACGTACGCTTCAGGTTACAGACTCCGCTAACCCAGAAATAGTGCTTCAGGTTAAGAACTTTGCTTCAGGATGAGAACAGAAATCGTGCTCCGGCGGCACAGCAGCGGCAGCAGGAGGCCCCATTAGCTAAAGTGGTGCTTCAGGTTAAGAACAGTTTCAGGTTAAGTACGGACCTCCGGAATGAATTAAGTACTTAACCTGAGGTACCACTGTACAGTAAAGCAGCATTTTTCAACCTTAGGCTCCCAGATGATTCTGGACTACAACTCCCATCACCTGTAGCCATTGGCTAAGCTGGCTGGGGATGATGGGAGTTGTAGTCCAACTGCTTCTGGGAAGCCAAGGTTGAAGAACACTGCAGTAAAGGAATGTTAACCACATATAGACTATGGCATCAAGTGATGGATTCTGTGCGTGAAATGCTAACCTCAGATCAGCTACTGTGTGCAGAGTGCTTCTATCACCTGACATCTTCACTCCAAACCACAATACATTTAATTGGAGGAGCTAGCAAAAATTTATCATTTGCCTGATAATAAATGTTGGAAATGCAAAGAAAATGAAGGTACGTTTTTTCACCTTTGGTGGACGTGCCCAAAGATCAAGGCCTTCTGGGAAATGATATATAATGAATTAAAAAAGGTATTGAAATACACTTTTGTGAAGAAACCAGAGGCTTTCCTCTTGGGCATGGTCGGCCAATTGGTGAGAAGGGAAGACAGGAAATTTTTTATGTATGCGACAGCAGCGGCAAGAATACTCATTGGGAAATACTGGAAGACACAAGAATTGCCTACCCGAGAAGAATGGCAGAGGAAAGTGATGGACTATATGGAACTGGCTGAGATGACCGGCAGAATTCGAGATCAGGAAGAAGGGTTGATGGAAGAAGACTGGAAAAAATTTAAAATATATCTTCAGAAACACTGCAATATAAAAGAATGTTAGAAAAAGGTTGGAGAAGAATATTAGACCGTATTGGCAGACAGGGTATAATGGAATAAGTAAATATGAAGTGTAAAATGAGGATAGTGAGAATTAAATACTTTCGAATGTTAAAATAAGTAAAAGAAAAAAAGGTTAGAAGGATTTGCTGGAGATACGATTTAAACTAGAATACAAAGCAGGGAGGTGAGAGGAAGTCATGGAAATAAGTAAATGGGAAAATGGTTTGTAATGGTCAAATATGTTTTTTGTTATTTCCTTTTTTTTTCTATTGTGATTTTCTGTTTTTCTTATTCCTTTTTTATTGTCTGTTTTTTATAAGATGTATGTGGTTTGTGTTTCTCTTTTTTTATACTTTTTCTTTTTTTGTAATTGTAATTGTAAAATTGGAATAAATATTCTTTAAAAAAAAAAAATTTAATTGGAGGAATGTCACATGTTCAGGTGAGCGGTTTGAAAAGGTGTGTGCCTTTTTCTTCCCACAAGTGTCATTTTCCTGCTTACAAATTAGCACATGTCCACCGCACAAAGGCTGGCAATTGTTTAGTTTAGTTGCTTGGAGAAAACCAAATCCATAATGGCCAGGCGTGTACTAGGGAGAAACATGTTGACAAAATGAACAGACCAATTGGCGGGTTGCTTTGGGCATTCAGCCGTGCTCAGTTCCCACCCCCTCACCCCCACCCGTTGCTAGGATAGTTGTCAACAGAACTTGAAGCTCCTGGGAGATAACGAATCTAATATTAATAATTGACTGGTGAAGAAAAAGTGCTGCGATCAATGAATCTGACTTCATATGGAATCTTTTAAATTCCAGCAATCGGGAGGAGGAGGCTACAGATTTGCAAAGCAATACCTGGGTAAGTTGAATGTTTCAGCCTATGTATATTTAAACATGTAAAATTTGAAACAATTTAAATTGGTGGTGGTGGGCATTTTAGTCCTCAGTAAGCAAGATTTTTTTTTTTAAGTGTCATGATGTTTCCAGCATTACTTTGGCCAGAATTAAAAGGGAATCTTGAGCAATCAACTTTGTAGAAAATATAATTATATGATAAGGTTTAGTAACTAGGTGACATTATCATTACTTATTTATTATGCCAAGGGTTCAAGAGTAATCCTATGTTCAAGGGTATTTTATAAGCTCCTCCTTCATTTTATTCTCACAAGTACCCTTTAAAACGAGGGACGTGGGTGGCGCTGTGGGTTAAACCACAGAGCCCAGGACTTGACGATCAGAAGGTCGGCGGTTCGAATCCCCGCGACGCGGTGAGCTCCCGTTGCTCGGTCCCTGCTCCTGTCAACCTAGCAGTTTGAAAGCACATCAAAGTGCAAGTAGATAAATAGGTACCACTACAGCAGGTAGGTAAACGGCGTTTCCATGCACTGCTCTGGTTTCGCGAGAAGTGGCTTAGTCATGCTGGCCACATGACCCGGAAGCTGTACGTCGGCTCCCTCGGCCAATAAAGCGAGATGAGCGCTGCAACCCCAGAGTCGGCCACGACTGGACCTAATGGTCAGGGGTCCCTTTACCTTTTACCCTTTAAAGCAGAGTGGCTGCCCCAGGAGGGCTGATTTATGATTTGAACCCCATTTTCAGCATGGTTCAGGTGTGTGTTTTTTTAGGCTTTTAATTTTGTCACTGTGCATAGATTGAACCTATTTTAAACTGAATAACGTTGTTCATAACCCCTTTTTGTGGAATAGCCAATTTGGGCAAAAAGAAGGTTGCAATTCGGTCACTGTGCTGTTTAAACCAGGGATACTCATCCACACTTAGCTTTGCTGCACATTTCTAGGCACAGGCCTGGGCTGTTCAGCTCTGCGTCTCAGCGCTCCCCCTCCCCAGTGCTTTTCCCTTGGACACCTGCTCTTTACTGCTGAATCGGATCAAACGGCAATCCATAGAAAACCTGCATTGCTGTTGCTCCGATTCGGCAGTAAAGAGCGGGTTTTCCTGCGGGAAGGCAGCAGAGCAAAACGAAAAGTGTTTGGACACAGATCGATAAAGCATGGTCCTGTGGCTAGAAAGTAAACAGCAAAGAGATCTGGACCAGGAGAAGATTCACAATGTAAGAATATAAATGATCAGACGAAAGTTTCCTCTAGTGCAGCACCTTTCTCCCTGCAGTGGCCAAGTAGAGACCTAGGAGAAGTTTCCATGGGGGCAACAGACCTCCTCACGGTTGCTACCGTTTGACAAGGTGTGTGGGGCCTAGAGTACTTGACTGGGGAAACAGAACTTCATGCCCTTGCTCATAAATGAAACGGAACTCTCAACCCAGCTCAGACATTGAAAAATTGCCTGAAGGATAAAATTGGGAGGAAAGAGGACCACATGCCCTGAAGTCATTGGAGAAGAAGTAAACAAGTAACTTTTGGGAAAGCGTCATAATTAGTACCAAAACAAAAGCAGTACTTTCATAGCATGCACAATTGGCATCAAAATCCACAGAATTAGTGATCAGTCTGTGCAGAAAGGCCCAAGGATCTGCCAAGTCACACAGGTCTTCCTGAATAAAATAAGCACATGGGGCCCCGAAATATGGAAGCCCTTTAAAAACCTTCCTTAATGGAATTTGAGGTGCAAACTAAACATAATTGTTCAGTTTCACCTTGGCTACATAGTTCTTTTTAGGAAACAAAGGCATGCCTCTCAATGAGAAGAAGAGGAGGAGGAGGAGGAAGAGGAGGAGAAGGAGTTGGATTTGATATCCTGCTTTATCACTACCCGAAGGAGTCTCAAAGCGACTAACATTCTCCTTTCCCTTCCTCCCCCACAACAAACACTCTGTGAGGTGAGTGGGGCTGAGAGACTTCAAAGAAGTGTGACTAGCCCAAGGTCACCCAGCAGCTGCATGTGGAGGAGCGGAGACACGAACCCGGTTCACCAGATTACGAGTCTACCGCTCTTAACCACTACACCACACTGGCTCTCACAGTTGACTCACTTTTCTCTGTCATCACAGGTTGATTTACCTTCTGTTGCATGGAAACAGGATAAGGATGGGAGACAACTGGAAAAGAAAGCCCAGAGTCTGCCATGATCCTATACTTTCACGAATACAGATCCCTTCATCTGCTCAGGACACCTCCTTAATGAAGGTATCTGAAGACTGCTGACATTAGAGCTGTGCCAATCTCATGGCCTAACCCCTTCTGTGATTTTATTAAATAAAACAGTTCTTGGTGCTTAGAATAGGGCTACCAGACGTCCCCATTTCCTGGGGACAGTCCCCGGATTTGCGAATAAGTCCCCAGACAAATTCCATCCCCGGAATGTCCCCGGATTTCATCTAATGTCCCCAGGAAATGCAGCAGCAGTAGTCTGAGCAGCCGGCTCTGGCTGGCTTCAGGAGGTACTCGGAAGTCCCCATGTGATGGTGGTGCAGGGGCTCGAAGATGCAGTTTCTAGACTGCCTCCACCTTCCCTAGCAACTAAGCTGTGAAGGGAGCAACTAAGCTGTGAAGGGAGGCTTCATGCTGCCTCTCGGAACAGCCTCCCAACTCCTACTTGCATGCAAGCAGGAGTGGGGCGGGGATTTCATCACTGAAGGGAGGCTTCACACTGGCTATCCAAGCTTGCGTGCAAGCAGGAGGGGGCAAGGATCTCTCAGTTAAGCAACAGGAAGCCTCCCTTCCCAGCTGAGGGATCCCCGCCCCCTCCTGCTTGCACGCAAGTAGGAATGGGATTGGGGCTGCTCCGATGAGAAGGGAGGCATCGCGCTGCCTGAGAGATCCCTGCCCCCTCCTGCTTGCAAGCAAGTAGGAGTTGGGATGGGGCTGCTATGAAAGGCACCGCTTCCCCACCACCACCACCAAAGAACCAACAACTCAGGGGCTGCCCAGGCTCATGGAGAAAGGAGACAGAAGCTTCGGAGGAAGGGGAAACGTGGCGGTTGAGGTCAAGACAGTGGCTGCCCCACTGCCACCGCCATCGCTGCAGCATCAATGTTCCGAACGTGTAGTATTTATTTATTTATTTATTGTGTCCCCGGATTCATTGAAAAAAATCTGTTAACCTTAGCTTGGAAGGGTCTCCTGTTCTTAGTGCAGAGTGGGTCTCCTGTCTTGTTTCACGGTGCCATCCTCAATGTGCTGCACCCTGACATCTCCCTTAGCACCTGCAGGGGCCCCTGCCTCCCCCCTTTACTTTATTTTATTTTTATTTTTAATATGTGAGAGTGTGCGTACATGCCTGTAATCCCCCCCCCCCCCGAATGCTTCTGGGCTACACACAGGGCTAAAGAGTTTCATAAGGAAACAGAGTGCTAAAACTGCCCACCATAGAACACCAGGGCTGTGTCCCATTGCCCACTGTCAATCTCCCCCATTTCCCAGGTGAGCACTGCCATCTGCAAGACTTCCCCAAATTACTGCTTTTTGGAGAAGTAGGGATGGAAGACCGTTATTTCCAGTTTTCTCAGTTTCTCGTTTTTCCAATCTTGAATTAGGTTCTCACATTTCTGCAGCTATTTGCAAGTCTGTTTTTTAAAAGTCCTGATGAAAACGCATCAGCATTTTTAGTGTGAACAAACACATTTTGTATGCAGTTTTGACTAATGTACAATTTTTTTGCAAGCAGCTATCCCAAATGTTATACATTTTTACATGTTACCTTCATTAATATCCATTCCTATTAGTGCACAATTTCCTCGGATATGTAAATTTTGTGAACACTGTTTAGAGAACTGTACCACATAATAAGATTAAGTGAAAATCCCGAAGGACAGCTATGTTTTAGTTCATGTACTGTTTCAGGGTGTGTGGATTTGATAGATTTGTCTTTAAATGAGAAGTGAAGCTTGCTGTCTTTGTGACAAGAAGATTAAAGCCCTCCTTGCAATCTAGGGGAAGGCAGGTGCCAGACCAGGAGACTTCAGGTAAACCCTGAAGGTCTGGCAGCCCTAGTCCTCTCTGGAACTCACCTACAGGTGGTACCCAACACCAAGAAAACTAGTGCTAATATGCCCAGGAACCTCACCAAAATGCTGGAGAGGGTGCACTTCCACAGGCACATACCTTCACATGTGGTGGGAGTGTCCCAAAGTCCAACTATTCTGGACAACAGCCATACAAGAAATATGTAAAATAACCAAGCAAGTATTAGAAATCACCCCAGAATTGGCCCTACTAAACATCTTCCAAGACAATAGTGCTCATTTACACCACAAAGAACTCATAACCCACCTCCTTTCAGCAGCCAGAAACATAACCAGACACTGGAGAGACCTGTCAGGAGTAAGCATGGACCAATGGTACCAAACAGTATGGGAAACAGCCTTACTAGAAAAATTAACCAATAAACTGAAACTGACACGGGGACAAATAGAAGAAGACGCCTTCACCCCGGTATGGCTTCCCTTTATCACATACACAGCCCAACAAGACAATGAAAAAAATCCACCAACAGCATACAAATAAATAAATATGGCTAACCTGATCCAAAACACCCACCAACCCCCACTCACACATGAAAACAAAGACCACCACAGCCAACCACAAATGAACAGCCACACCCTAGGCCAACCCCAACCTCTCTCACCAACAAAGAAACACAAAGGAACAGCAGAGAACCTGCACAAGCAACTCTGACACAAAACCCGACATACATTAAGTAAAATAGAAACATCACCACCTGACCCCCCCATCTCCCCCCCACCTCTTTCCCCCTTTTCTTCCTAATGTCTCAACAAATGAAACGGATCAGTAAAAAATGTTACTTGGGGAAAAAAGAGAGAGAGAGATTGCACATACTCTTGTAAACCAAGAAAATCTTTAATAAAAATACATTTTTTAAAAAAATGGCTCACCCCAAATGCCTGGGGGAATTAGGGTGTCTTTACTTGATGGCAGAAACCCACGCTTGTCTCACCGCTCAGGGTGACAAAGAACCACTCTCACCACCAACTGTAAGACCTGGGATGGATGATATGGGAGAGGAATACAGCCAGGTTCCAGGGCATGAAGGACTTTATAAACCAGTACTAAAACCTTGAATTGGACCCTGTAGCAGTCTGGCAGCCAGCTCAAATCCCACAATATTGGTGGCTATATGACCACATGCTGAAGCGCCATTCAGTCATCATTCTGCACCAGCTGCAATCTCTGGACTGTTGTCAAAGGCAGCCCAATGTAGAATACATTATAATAATCTAGCTTTGCAGCCCTGGCTATTTTCTACCTCAGCATGTTTCTGCCTTCGTTGCTTTGCTTTTTCCATGATAAAAGAGGGAGCGAAGGAAGTCCAGGGTCCTCGTACATTCTCATTTTGCATTGTTTGGGTGGTGGTGGGGGTTTGGGGTGCTGTTTGCCATGTGTAACTAGTCTAGGCCTTGTTCCGACAGGATTTGAAAAGAGGACAGAAGCGCTACTTTTACAGCATTATGAGAATATATGACAGCAAAGCGCCGAGGGAAATGTTGTACCGTCGGTATGTGATCAATCTCCAGCGCCAGAACGTGCAGGGTGAGTGTCAGCCAAGGCAGCTCCTTGCATCAGCACCTCCGAGAAATTGGAGAGCAGCAGAGAAAATCCGGAGACTTGAGGGGATTATGAGGCAAGGTTTATGGGCCATGAAGGTACATCAGACACACAGCCGGAGCACATGGTGGTTTATAGGCAGAGTTCACACAGTCTTCAGCCAAGAGGCTCTGCCGTTCTCAGCAGGGACGAAGGGGAAGAACAGGCAGTGAAATGGTGTAGGTCTGATGTTATTTATGTTACATTCATCCACTGTGCAGTTTGTCTTTGGTTCCTCTCCGCAGAAATGATACAAACACACACAGAGACAGCTGAAAGACAAATGCTTTAGAATAAATGTTTAGCTCTCGTAGCTGCCTTAGAAAAATATCAAACCAACAGATTTCTCCCAGACGCACAAAACACCGGGGGCTTTCCTCCACATGTCTCCCAAACGCTTGACGTTAAAACTAGGATTGGAAACCTTCTATAGGAGAGCCACTCAGGAACAAACACTTCAAAATGAAGAGTTAGCATTAAAAGGATTGTGAGATCAGTTCTGTGATTCAGAAAAGACAGCTTCTGTGTTCTCCCAGACTTTTCATGTTCAATTCAAGGTTTTAGCTCAGTGGTACAAGCCATGTTTTGCATACAAAAGGTCAGTGTTCCCCAAACTTGGGCTTCCAGCTGTTGTTGGATTACAACTCCCAGCATCCCTAGCTAGCGGGACCAGTGGTCAGGGATGATGGGAATTGTAGTCCCTAAACAGCTGGGCAGTCGGCCGGGCGCTCTCGCTCCTGGCTCGATTTGGGTCATGGGGGGGTCAGCGGTCCCCCCCAGTTGACGCGCTGGGTGTCCCTGGTTCCCCCTTGGGAGTGGCAGTGGCGGCAGCAGTCTCAGCAGCCCAGAGCCAGCCTGGTAGCGCAGTTGGGTCTGGCTGGCTTCAGGAGCTGCTTGCTGCCATGGTGCCCGTCATTTTGCCTTGCTGGAAGTCCCCATATGATGTGTCTTGTGCCGTTGAACCAATCATGTAACATTCATTCACTATTAATAAATCTGTAACACTTAAAATATAAGTCCGGGGACATTAAATGAAATCCGGGGACATTCCGGGGACGGATTTTGTCCGGGGACAGATTTGTAAATCCGGGGACTGTCCCCGGGAAATGGGGATATCTGGTAACCATAGTATGTGCTCCCTGTACTGTTTCTGCAGGAGAAGGCAGACTTGCCATTTCTAGCATTAACGGTAAGGTAGGAGAGCCAGGTGCAATCACTTGCTCCTGGAGCCATTTCCTGGAGAAGGCAGAGGATTAAACCTGGAGAGTCCAGACCTGTGCACAGAAAGGCAGGTCTGGATTTTCTCTTTCTTTTCTTTTTCACTGATTCGGGTGGCTGGGTTTTAAAATATGATTTATAGAATAGAAATGAGCAAGTCCCAGCCTCAGAACTGCAGGTGTAAAACTAACGAATGATTTAGCCTTGTAGTGCTTACTATTTTGTCAAAGCTTTTAATGCGAAGGCCCTAGTGACAAACCAAATATGAAGTTCAGAAAATCCTATTGATGGCCCTGTTTGTCACAGGAATAACAAAAATGCACAGGCAAAACAGAAGCAGTTAACAGGGGAGTAAAATCAGATGTAATTATTCTGTGAAGTATGCATTCTCTGTTTTATGTTCTGCTAAACTCTGATTGATTAAATTAGAGGCAGTCTTCCCATTAAACTGGATTTATTACAAGAACAAGGTAACTATCGCTACCTAGTGCTAAGAACCATCTTTCTTAAAGGAAAGGCTTGTCCCTTTCCCCAACGCTTTGGGAAACAGGCTGGTCTCCTTTCAAACTATTTGATTGCACCCAATGTCAGGAGGCTTGCTTGTGTAAATTAGAGACAAAACAGCAGACCCAAAAGGAAAGAGGGAGTCGAAACGTTCATCTCACAATTAAGGCTCCACAAAGTAGGTCTTTCTCATCTTTCACTCCTGCAATCATTGAAAACCATGTCACATCGCCACAGGACGACGCCTGACAGCAGAAGGCTCACTGACTCCTTTTTGCAATTACCGTTGTTATTTTCTGACTCCACACTCTGAGCATGGCAGGGAGCCCTATTCATTCCATCAACTTTTATGGCCTCTCCTGCACATGCTGACTAATGTGATGACACTAGACCAGTTGTTCAGCTGTCCTGGACACTTTTGCCAGCCCAAAGGAATAACCGGCCATCAGAATAACGCACTGTTTGCCCCCTCGTCCCCATGTATTGATGCACGGGTGCCTTTGACCATTATTGACTCCTTTAAAAATATTTTTAAGGGCTCATCACAAAGCAGCAAGTCAAATATTATGCATCCTACCTGAAAGATTAAAAAACCCCGCAGAGGAATCAAGGCTGGGAACTGCACCTCCCTTGAAGACAGACCTCAGGAAGGCAGAGCTCGGTTTCTGTAATTAAATGTGAATCAAAGAAACCAGAGATGACTCACAGTCAGTGAAAAAGGATGAATCACTTTTCTTCCATGAGAATTGGACACTTAACGTTACATCCAGAAGTTGCGCTAGGTGCTTACAAAGCAAGCTGGTAACTCGTCTTTCTGTTTTTATTTTATTTTTAAATGCACACTCTCTTCTAGGAAAAACTGCTCAAAATTTCCATAAAGAAAAAGTTTAAAGACTATTTACAGAAATATTGTAAAATTAATGAATGTTAGAACGATGTTGGATAGAAATTAAGTGGTTTTTGAGCTGTAATTCTATAAGGGAATATGAAAAATGGATTACTAATAGGTAAAAATAAATAAATGTCTTATAAAACAAAACAAAAAACAAAATTTCCATAATTTTGCATGCATTATATATGAAAATAGATATTTGAAATCTTGCAAAATTTGCCATTTTGTGCCATGGAGGGGGGGGAATGGTAAGGGCAAATGTGAAATAAGGAGACCCGGGATAAATGGGGGGCAGTGGACACATATTTGAAGCAAGACCAGGAAACCACCAAGAATGCAGAATGTTCCAGTTCCTAAACTTGCTTGTTTTCAAACACGTGTGCGTGCACATGCACACACACACACACACACATACAGACCTCCCCCTCTACAGACACATATACACAATGGCTAGAAACTTGCTTAAATAAAATGAAAGTGGTGATTCAGTGTAAGATTTTGCCTGAGGAGGAATTTGTATCCTCTTATCTTGCTGATCAGAATGTTGGCAGTTCGAATCCCCATGACGGGGTGAGCTCCCGTTGTTCGGTCCCCGCTCCTGCCCACCTAGCAGTTCAAAAGCATGTCAAAGTACAAGTAGATAAATAGGTACCACTCTGGCGGGAAGGTAAACAGCATTTCCATGCGCTGCTCTGGTTTGCCAGAAGCGGCTTAGTCATGCTGGCCACATGACCCGGAAGCCAGCTCCCTGGGCCAATAAAGCGAGATGAGAGCGCAACCCCAGAGTTGGCTGCAACTGGACCTAAGAGTCAGGGGTACCTTTACCTTTATCTGTAATCACAGCTCTGAACTACTTGGTAAAGATGTGTACAAAACCGATGTCATCTTATAGAGAGGAGCCTGTTCAGAGCAATGGTATAGGACAGATTGCTTAAAGCTTCCGACTGCAGAATGAAAATTACAGGTTAACATTGGATGCATTACGATGATGTGTATGTAAACTGACACTCTAAGTTGTCTCTGACACCTTTAAATTAATTTCCAGCTTTAAATAAGAAATGAAATATGTAACAAATGCAAATAAAATTTATGTCAATGTGTTATGCTGACAGGTCAAAAGCGTCACCAGTTGTTTTCCGGCAGATGGCTTTCTTTCTGAAAAAGCTGCTCCATAAACCTTTATTACTCTCTATTTCTGTGCTTTTTCGGAAACTGACACATAACCATGCATTCTGCATCAGCCCAGTGGGTTCCTCTAGATGACCTGTTTACTGACTAGCATTCATTCTGATTTGCTCATACTGTACAAAGCTTACATGAAAGTTAGATTACATCCCGTTTTTACGGAGCGTTTGTTTTGATGTGGGGAGGCTATATGACAACGAGCATTCGTTCTGCATTCATCCTGATTCGCTTGCAGGGTGTTTACATGTCATTCCCTTCACCATTCTTCCATCCCACACTTTTCAGTGCAGAATGCTTTTAATCTACTTTCATTGGTAGTCATAAAGTCCCCAGTCTGCACTTGAATCCCTCCTACAAAATACTGGACGTGTTAAACATGAGATTAGATCCCCAATGGAAATGCTGTTTGCTAAAGGAATGGTTTAGCTCCCTTCCTTTTCATTCCAACTGCATCCTTCTGACTGCCAAATGTGTCTCTACCAGGTTTAATGCCTCTCTTCTTTGTTACTTTCCAGGGTCCTGCCATAAAATTTTGCAAGAGGTTGGTTGTCAGTGAAATATTGCTGTTCTGATAAAAGCAAGCGGATGTGCCTCATTTCAGAGCTTTCATTTTCACTCTTCGCGTACCCCATATCTTAGCCTGTTATTTGGCCGCAATTCCTTCCCTCGTTTTCCCCGACTTTCTTCCTACAACTGCTCTTTAAGTCCAAAAAATGTCTAATGTTGATCCAACAAAGTCAGGCTGGCTAGGATACCATCCAGAAAATTCTATTCTTGCTAGTTGTGTGTGCAATGTGGCCTAGATTTTCCTGCGCTTACGTTCCCATTCCTGCCCATTGCTGAAAATTCTCCATCCATACGTGGAAAAAGGTAGCTGGGTCTAATTCATACGTGACCTTCTTTACAGTGTGGATAAATTTCCTTACATGGATACCGTAATGGTAGCCTCCACGAGTCATATTTGCAATAGATGTTTTCAGCACTGGCAAATTTTAGGTCACAATCTTAGCTTCCATTTTCCTCTCTGTATAAAATGTCATTGAATTATTCATATATATAATATATGAATGATTCTGTAGCATATAGCAATTCATGGGGCACAGTCCAGGAGGTTACAGTCGTACCTTGGATCTCAAACGCCTTGGTTACTGAAAAAAATGGCTCCCGAACAATCAGAACCCAGAAGTGAGTGTTCCAGTTTTTGAACGATTTTCAGAAGTTGAATGTCTGGCGCGACTTCCGCAGCTTCCAAGTGGCTTCCAACCGGAAGCTGGACCTTGGTTTTTGAACGGTTCTGGGAGTCGAATGGATTTCCAGAATGCATTCTCTTCGAGAACCAAAGTACGACTGTAGTTATTTCCACTGAAATCAATGTGGCTTAATGTAAGGTTACCAGATGTCCCCGTTTCCCAGGGACAGTCCCCGGATTTACAAATCACTCCCCATACAAAATCCATTGAAGTTGAAAAGTGTCCCCGGATTCATTGAAAATAATCTGGTAACCTTAGCTTAATGCATTCACTGCTACAATGTGTTGCCGCAGTACCTGTATGCAGATTGTACAAGAGCTTTCCAAACTTTTCATGTTGGTGACACACTTTTTAGGCATGCATTATTTCGTGATGCGGTAATTCAGTTTTACGTCATTTTGCAACACAGTAATTCAGTTTTACTAGGAAACCGGAGGTTAAACTAACCCCTTTCCAGCCCTGGAAGGAGCATGGGGAGTGTTCGTGCAACACACTACAGCCGACACACTTAACGTGTTGTGACACACAGTTTAGAAAGCTCTGGATACCCTGAATGCATGGCAGTGATATGGGTTGGACTCACTGGCTCTACCAGTGACACTTGCATGACTGATCTCTAGATATTCAAGGTCCTGTTTGCACCTGAGCCTATGCATATAACATTCTCGGGTGAGTAGGCCCTGAAAACATGATCCGTATCTTCCGTTTTTCTAGGGCATGGAGTTTGAATTAGGGAAGGAGAGGCGTAGCAAGGTCGGGTGGTACCGGTGTGGAAATTTATTTATTTATTTTGCGAATAAATTTTTATTAATTTTCATTAAACATAAATTCATTATACAAATAAATCCCACATATATATTTGGCTCTGCCGAGCTTCGGACTTCCCTCCACCCCTTCGGTAGGTATCATATATTTTCTAACATTGCGTATTCTGTTTGTTTAACCGTTTTACTATACGCTGTTAGAGTTATTCCAGCCCTGCCAGTGTCTTTAGGGTTTTACAATTGGCTCTTATATATACCAAATATTTACTCCAACTTTCATGAAACTTCTGTTCATCCTGATCTCGTATTTTTCCTGATAATCTGGCCAGTTCTGCATAATTCAACATTTTAACCTGCCATTCCATAATAGTAGGTATCACATCTGTCTTCCAATTCTGGGCCAACATAGTTCTTGCTGCCGTCGTGGCATACAGAAAAAGATTTTTATCTTTCTATTTAATTTCCTTCCCTGTCAGTCCTAATAGAAAGGCTTCGGGGTTTTTTTTAGAAAGGTGTACTTAAAGGTGGATATTTTTTTTGTAAACCCCCCCCCCATTAATGGCTCCGGGTAGGCTTGGGAGTCGTGGGCAGGCAGCACGCTGAATGTCATTCCCTGGGCACGCCACCCACCTGCAACTCCCAAGCCTCCCTCGAGCTGCCCAAACGAAGGGGGAAGGCCGCCAGCAAAGGTGCGCCACTTTCTTTGCGGTGCCTCTTTACTGGCAGCCTTTCCCCTTCCTTTTGACAGCTCAGGGGGAGCTTGGGAGTTGCAAGCGGGTGGCGCGCCAAGTGTCGCCCCCCTCATCGATGACACCCGGGGCGTTCCGCATCCCCGCAACCCCTTCCTATGCCTCTGTAGGGAAGGGCTGCTGTTCAGTAGTAGAACATCTGCCTTGCATACAGAAGGTCCGGTTGAATTCCCAATGGCATCTCCAGCAAGGGCTGCGAGAGACTTTGCTGGAAAACCCTGAAGAGCCACTCCCAGTGGGTGCAGGCAGGACTGTGCTAGAAGGACCAAGGATCTGACAGGTCATTGATACGTCAGCTTCCCATGTTCCTATGAGACTATGCATAGACTCCAAGCAGATAGAACCTTGAATGTGTGGAGATCTGACATCTTGAGGTTGTGGCCTCAGAAGGCCCAATTTTCACACACCAATTCATGCCGCTCCCTGTAACCTTCCGCACAAGGTTATTGTCTTTTGCTCTGAGAGGAATAGGTGGAAGTAAATGCAAACTGTAGCTGAATGCTATATCCTCCTGGTACTTTTTTTTCCAAACACGGTATATTGTTTTGCAATATGTTTTAGTGCTATGTTGAGAAATGTTATTGATTATAGACCTTCCAGACATTACCAAAGCAATTTGATGTATATTGCCCATCGATGCAGCAATTGAGTTGCATCCTTCTGCGCTTTTTAGTAAATTGATCCTAAAGAAAACAGGAAGAAAACTGGGGGCACGTAATGATGGGGAGGGAGAAAGTAAGGATGCAAGC